TCAGTGTAGATATGATATAGACCCCAAATCACACACATACAGACACTTTATTAGTTTCCTCTACAAGAAACAATAACATCAATCTTTTAAAACAGAAATCTCAGATCATTTGAGAGGCTAAACAGATCTAAGGAAGGAAGATGAAAATTAAATACTTAAATGAATCCAAAGGCACTACGATTATCACCTAAAACCTACTGCTGCAGCAGTAGTAGGCTAAGGAAGATTAAGCTACAGCAAATCATCTAATGTGAATGTTAGCAATTACATAGCAGGAGGCAAGTCTGCTTTCCAGAAGACTATGGTACAATGATCATTTGGGCCCAAGAGGATATTTGGCCAGGAAAAGGTCGAGATGGATGAAGGTAAGCCAATGGAAAGGAACAGGTACAAAGGAGAATCAGGGCTACACAGTCAAGCAGATGGTGAAGGATCAGGCTTCTTCCTCCCAAGAAACATTTGCTGCATTAAGTGCTGCCTCCCCCTCCCCCTCCCCCAACCCCACCCAATGGCTGCTCAAGCTGAGCTGCCTGCTCCTGCCTAGTTGGGTGCTCAGCTACCAGGTCTAGGTTTAGGGCAGCCCAGAGCTCTTGCCGTAATTTAGCATAGATTTTGGAGACCTTGTCCCACGTGGGTTGGCTCCGTTGCTAGTTGTTCTGAACAAAGAAAACCCTGAAGCATTCACATGCAAAGTAGTCTGAGCTTCCCCGATCACAGTCAAACATCTCTACACAATACCTTCAAAAGTCTAAAATCTTGCAGCAGCTGAGCTATAGTTAAAGCTGCAAGGCTCACAAAATCTTCGAGGAAGCCAGAATGAAACAATGCAGGCAGGAATCCTAGCAATTAATCTCAATCTGTCTTTTCCCATTTAGGATAAGCTCTAATAGTTGATGTGGGATGTAGAAAGCTACACTGGAATAAGCCGGGTCTTCTGCAGAGTTTGTCATCAAATACCAAGGGAAAACAAGGGGGGGGCGGGGTTGAGTTTATTTTTAAAAAGCTTCAGAAGTTATTCTATTATAAAGGGACATGGCTGAACAGGTACGAAACAGATTCCCCATTGTGAGTCCTCCTGATGGCTTCTGCAAGGATCATGGAGATGTCAATCACCTAGGAAGGCAAGAAGGGCATCATGTTAGTATATGGACAAGATGACTGGGCAATCTGCAGACACTGACGAGCAGCCTAGTGAGTGCTCCTCCTCTTTTTTTGTCAGATTTACAAGATTTATTTCTACAAGAAGTAGATCTCTTGCTTTAATATGAGACTGAGTGAAAGAATGCGGGTGTTTTTACTATTATTTAATTTCAGAATATTACAGGGGTACAAACGTTTTCGTTACATAAATTGCCCTTGTACCATTTGAGTCAAAGCTGTAAGTGTGCTCATCCCCCAGATAGGGTGCACTGCACCGGTTAGGTGTGAATTTACCCATCCCCTCCTCCCCCTAACCTGCTTGATTTCCGATGAGTGTTGATCGATTAGTTCCAATTTAATGGTGAGTACATGTGGTGCTTGTTTTTCCATTCTTGTGATACTTCACTTAGAAGAACGGGCTCCAGTTCCATCCGGGTTAATACAAGAGGTATTAGTTCACTATTTTTTGTAGTTGAGTAGTACTCCATGGTATACATATACCACATTTTATTAATCCACTCATGTATTGATGGGCACTTGGGTTGTTTCCTCGTCTTTGCAATTGTGAATTGTGTTGCTGGGTGCCCCTCGTCTTAAAAGTGCCACACTGTACTGTTTCCCCTCAGGAGCCTGCACTCAGCTACTCTTCAGAACATCTGTAACATAACCGCTTAGGAAAGGGTCGAAATGCTAACGGAAGAAAAACCCTGACTCTGGCTCATGAAAATGGTGGTGGGTTGGCATTTTAAATCTCTTAAGAATGAAGAAAAAGAATATTTAAACTGAAAAAAAGATCCTTAAGAATGGCAACAGGCCGGGCGCGGTGGCTCACGCCTGTAATCCTAGCACTCTGGGAGGCCGAGGCGGGTGGATC